TGGCATCTGAAGCTGGGAGAATGGCGGCGCGGGCGAATCGAGGCCGAACAAATCATCGGCAGCTGTCCGCACAACGGGGGCGGGAGCCGGGGGAGGTGTGGGGGCTGCCATTGGTGCGGGCACTTGGCGGCGCATATTGGGCGGAATGAGCGCGGGCGGGACTACCTGTGGCAGCGGCTCCTTGCCGCTACGCTGCAATCTCACCAAGTACATAGCCACGGCAAATTCTTCCCGGCTCAGCTGGCCGTCTGCGTCGATATCTGCAAGGTCCCAAATTTGGGCAAGCGTCTCTTCAGGAAGCTGGGCCTTCATGAAGAAAGATACAGCTTGGTCTCCAGTAATAAGTCCCAACTTGGCTGTGTCAACAGTCTCGAATATGCTATCAAACTGGGCCTTCTCTTGTGGGGTAATCAACCAGTCACCACCGGTGACCTGGGCGGAAAGAGAGCCTACAAAGGGGGAGCGATTGGCTTGGTTCATAGGGCTTGTAGTTCGCTGAGGGCCAGTAAATTGCTGGGGAATGGCCGGGATGGGGGGCACATCGGGTCTCGCCCCAAAAGACACCCGTGCAGGAGGTCCCCTGCGAGCTGCCGCATCGTACAGACCAGGCGGGAGGGTCGCTGGGATACCGCGTAGGGCGCCAGATTTATATGACGTCAGTAGATGCATGGCAATGGTAAACTCAGTGGCATCCAAGGCACCTCGCTGCTTAGTGTCAGACAAAAACCAGATGCGACCCAGAACCTCATTTGGGAGCCGAGCGCGTTCGAAGATCTGTTTTGCAATTTCGCCTATAGATCAAATAGCGAACGTGTTAGATTGGCACTTTATCTGCAGGAAAGAGCTACATACCTGAGATCATCCCGTTCTTGACGTCCGACTTCTCGAAGAGCGAGACGAATTTATTGGCATCATCAGGCTGAAGGGGGGGAACACGAATAGGTCCATTGGCTCCAGGTGGAGGGCTTTTGGTTCCGGATTCCGGGACGCTTGCCGTTGTGTCGACCACAATTCCGTCAAAACGAGGCAGAGGGCCAGCTATGAATAGGTGCGCGATCAGCATGAATTCCACTTCTCTAAAGGGAACATCACTCACATTGCAGAGCCAACTCGTCCGAAGGTGCACGGCCAGCTTGGGCATGTCCAATTAAACGCAGAACAATACCGAAGCCAGATGGGGTCAGGAGGCCCCTGTTCTCTTTATCGGCAATTTGCCATATCTACAAGACCACTCATTAGCTATCCCTCTCACTATTGCGATCCAACACCCATCTTCTATCCACATACCAGGCCGAGAGTATCCGGGGATAGGTGAGTCTTCTCAAAGAATGGAACCGCGATTTCACCGGTGATGACCCCGAGGTTGGTGGTATCGGCAGCCTGGAAAAGCTGGAAGAATACGCGCTTTTCCTCTGGAGTGAGGTGAAGATTCGGGTGTCGCTGTGCTAAAATATTGTGTTCCGTCAGCTCCGCTGGGTCGCGCATATAGAGAGCGGGTGCATGAAGGGGAGGGGTGATGATGACGGAGGTAGGCGGGCGTTTCTCTTGAGTGCGCCGAAGCTCTCTCACAATTCATTTTGGCTCTGGCAAGGAATATTAAGTATTACTTACCGGTATCAGCCATTGCTGTGTCCTAGGAGGAGCTTAACTCCCCGCCTTCTAATGAGTTCACAATCGTTGGGTGCCTTGAGGGACAAGTTGGAGACACGGGATGCTGTCAGCCTAGTCTGAACTCGCAACAAGCATGGGCGAAGCGCAGTATTTGACAGGACGGCAAGGACACGAGATATAGGTAAATCTCGAGCTCCAAGGAGGAAATAAACTTCAAGAGGAATGGGGATTGAAAGTGGCTGGAATCGATGTCGTAGGGAAAGGTTCCAGTGGCTCTCAAGGCGGTCAGTCGGTCTAGCGCCCATCCAAACACGTTGTCTCGCCCCGAAAGGGGGATAATTCTAACTAGGTCCAAAGGATAATTGAAAGATGTTTATGAATATTGAAGTCTGCCAATTGACAAATGGTTCTTCGACTAGTTGATCCAAGGATATTGGTTGTTACTGTGATGGTTTCCGAATCTCAATTGCCTATATACAGGCGACAAGATATGCCAGCTGGAGAAAGAGAAAAAAGGGGAACCCCTGAATATAGTAAGTAAGCCAAGTATATTCGGGGAACTCTCTAAAACATCACCCAAAGGCGTGAGCTGATAGATAGACTGCAAATCATAGGCAAAGCGGGAACTATAAGACATCGCATGGACAAGATCCAACATTGGCAGTTCCTACGCTGACTATTAAAAGTGTTAGAACTCCTAATTCGTATGTGTCTTCAGTGTCTTTTAGGAAGTAGGATATATACTGCCGATATCAACGTGGTCTTGCAAGAAATACAACATATAATTCGTATGGCGTCTGCTGGCAGAATATATAAACGCTCGAACTGGCCTTTTCCCTGTAACGTCCATGACTGTGAATTAAGTGTCTTACCCCGAAATTTACAATCAAAGCCCTACGAGAGCTCAGTCTTGGTCATCTGCTTGGCCTTCTGGGTCTTGATCAACTCACGCAGCTAGTTCACACTGTACGGTAAGAGATCATGGAATGAGAGGAAGTATATACATGTATTGCATTCGACATTTTCGGAGTGTAAGAGAAGACGAAGTCTGGTCATATTGCTTCGGTGGCAAGTTGTCCCCGGGGTCGTAGGGACTGGTACGCTGACTTCTGCGTCAGGGGCAGTGAAACCCCCAATGGTAGGTACATTTTCAGTTGAGGCCTAATTCAGATAGAACCAGAATACAAAATCCGAGAAAGACATTGCGAAACAGCGTATGGCTTCACGGCCTTGGGGCTATGCAAGCCTGGCGCCCAAGCCATTGATTCAATGTCCGACTATGAGACGACACACTTGGAGTACACTTTATGAGATCCAAGGAGACAGCGTTAGAAAGTAATAACAATGGCATACGTATGTAGAAACCCTAAAGGTGGATGGAACGAGGGGAAATTTCATCCTGCTTCAGGGATATTAAAGATATATCGAACAACAAAGCCAGAAAATCATTGGCAGCAAAACGTATGTTCCCTTCTATTTGCAAGAAGCCCGATACACGCATGAAAACCGAACCTCCAGACTCGCGTTGGTCCCCAAGCCAACCCGTAGAAGTGAAACAACCAAGAGTCCGAAGACCGGTCAAATAACATGGCTAATCTAGTACTCGGGCTCCAACTCCTCATCACCCTCGATGGAGTCGGAGGCGACCTCCTCGTAATCACGCTCGAGAGCAGCGAGATCCTCACGAGCCTCAGAGAACTCACCCTCCTCCATACCCTCACCAACGTACCAGTGAACGAAGGCACGCTTGGAGTACATGAGATCGAACTTGTGGTCGAGAGCGGACCAGGCCTCGGCAATGGCGGTAGTGTTGGACAGCATGCAGCTATATTATAATTAGCATCGAATTTTTAATCAGGGTTCAAGACCCGAAAGAATCAAAAAGAAAACTTACACAGCACGGCTGAGGTTGGCAAGATCGCCGTTGGGGACCTGCATGGGAGGCTGGTAGCAGATACCGAGCTTGAAGCCAGTAGGGCACCAGTCGACGAATTGAATGGTGCGCTTGGTCTTGAGAGTGGCGACGGCACTGTGGGCGTCCTTGGGGACAACATCACCACGGTAAAGCAGACAGGTAGCCATGTACTTGCCGTTGCGGGGGTCACACTTGACCATCTGGTTGTTGGGCTCGAAGCAGTTGGAGGTGATCTCGGTGACAGAGTGAGCCTCGTGGGCGGCCTTGTCGGAGGAGATGATGGGAGAGTAGGCGACCAGAGGGAAGTGGATACGGGGGTAAGGCACCAAGTTAGTCTGGAACTCGTTCAAGTCGACGTTGAGGGAACCGTCGAAGCGCAGGGAAGCAGTGATAGAGGAAACAACCTGAGCGATAAGGCGGTTCAGGTTCTCGTAGCTGGGGCGCTCAATACCGAGGTTGCGGCGGCAGATGTCGTAGATAGCCTCGTTGTCGACCATGAAGGAGCAGTCGGAGTGCTCCAGGGTGGTGTGAGTAGTGAGGATGGAGTTGTAGGGCTCAACAACGGCAGTGGCGTTCTGGGGAGCAGGGTAGACACAGAACTCCAGCTTGGACTTCTTGCCGTAGTCGACGGACAGACGCTCCATCAGGAGAGCACCGAAACCGGAACCGGTACCACCACCGAAGGAGTGGAAGACCAAGAAACCTTGGAGACCAGCACAAGCATCGGCAACACGACGCACACGGTCGAGAACCTCATCGATCATCTCCTTACCCACGGTGTAGTGACCACGGGCGTAGTTGTTGGAAGCATCCTCCTTACCAGTGATCATCTGTTCGGGGTGGAAGAGCGAACGGTAGGTACCGGTACGGACCTCATCCACGACATTGGGCTCGAGATCGGCGTAGATGGTACGGGGAACGTACTTGCCCTGACCTGTGAAGCGGGGGAGAAAGAATGTTAGGAAGCTGTGCTTTGCAATTTTGCACATCAAGGCGGGGGAACATTGAAAAAAAAATCAGGGTTTTCCTACCAGTCTCAGAGAAGAAAGTGCTGAATCCGTGGTCGGGGTCGGCCTTCTTGCGCTCCTCAGTGAGGAATCCATCGGGCTATTATCCATGTTAGTCACGAGTGTTTACCTCTCGGCAAGAAAATAGGGGGTACGGGTGCCCGAGTCAAGATTGGGCGCCATCATGGGTTTGGAATTCCAACGCACCTGGATACCGTGCTCCAGACAGTACAGCTAGAAAATCAATGCTGTTAGTTTACCGAATACTTGTTCCTCGATGGGTTGTGGATAGTTACCTCCCAGCAGGAGTTGGCGATCTGGCAACCGGCTTGGCCGACTGTAGAGAACGTCAGCGCATTCATCGAAGAAGACATATCAAGTCTGACGAGTAGACTCGATGGACGATGTCGACATACCGTTCAAACTGATAATCTCTCTCATTGTGATCGAGTCGATGTTTTTTCAGGCTAAAAAATCAGGAGGGGAAAGTGAAACCCAAACAACAAACGCGACGGTCTGGAACTCTCAGTTAGGCTCGAATACGAAGATGCACGATGGAAGGGGGCGGGGTTGGGCTTCGTACCTGAAGAATGGAGGAATGGACGAGAAGATGGAAAGGAAAACAAAGTTGACCAGAAATGTTGTGGAGGAGGAGGCGTCTGTGCTGTACAGGGGGAAGTTCGTTGTTGATCCGTTCGTTGGGTCGCGTCGGGCAATTTGATTGGCTCCTCCCCGGTGAGGAGTAGCGGCTACTGACCGCCTCGTAGTGATCTCGTGATGCCACGTGATATCATTAGTACCTTGTGACATGTGGATATTAAAAAAAGAATGCAATTCAAGCTTGAATAGTTAAGATAATTCGGCACTCGAAGTTCGTCAAATTTGTCCAGTGAAGTGCCCAGGGAAACTCCTCAAGGGTGTGTGGTCTGACGGTGTTGAAGCTATCGATTTAGGATCCACTAGGGGGAACCACCTCGAACCACCATTCGACCATTATAGTCAAAGTACTAAGACACACACCTCGGTACTGTATATACATTCCAACATTGCACGTTCAACTTTTGAATGCTAATTGAACTCTTAGCACTACAATTGTCAAAAACTGCCCGAGTCTCGTCATGGGCCGAGAAGTAAGACATCACTAGAACATCATCTCGTTCACCTAAAATTCTCCCTATATTACAGAGCAGAACATCAAGTCTCTCATCATGCATATCAAACTTATTCCCACTCTGGGACTCATCCTCCCGCTCTTCACAGCAGTAGCGCAAGCAAATGTGGAAAAGACTATCTTTCTAGCCCCAATACCAGCAATCGTCCCTTCCGAGCAGCCAGACCTCGACGACCTAGGTCTCGAGCGTCTCTCACCACAGAAACCCGTGGTGCGAACCCAGCTCAATGCCTCATTCCCAACGGCCGCGGCCCCCTATGGCACAGACTCGTGGTTCTTCCTTGAAAACCTGAACCCGGGCCAGCGGTATGAAGTACGAGTGTGCTGGCTAGCCACAGTAAGACCACCCACTAATCCACCCTCTCTCTCGTCGTCTTTTTACATATAATACACATCACCGTATATAAACACAACTAACAAACCCCTAGCAACCAACAACATTCACCCTCACCACCTACCCGCTCTCAAAAACAATCGAAGACAAAAACCTCCTGTCTTCCCTGAGCATGTACACAGCAGCCCGACTCGCAGCAGCAGACACAATCCAAGAAAATGTCATCCCGCACAGCGCCAATGCACGCGGTGGCAAAGATGTGTTCGACCCTGTGCCGACAAGTGACTCGGTTCTGTTTCTGCATGTGCACGCCGCAGCAGATTACTTCAGTACAGATCAGGCATTGATGCAGAATGTCCCACCCGTGGCGGTGGACTTGATTCTTGATCCATTCTTGTTTAATGTTTTCCCGCGCTCGTTGGTGCCGACTGCTGGGTGGATTGTACTTGTTGCTGTTCTCGCGGCAGTGCTGGGGAGGTGGATTGTGAAGGAGGTTGGGAGGGCTGTGGATGATGCTAGGAGGCAAAGTGTTTTGGAAGAGATGAAGAAGAAATGAGATTGGGGTGGTTTCCAAGGTTGTGTGTTTGTTTTGGAGATGTACGATCAAAGTATCTATGAACCGAGGAAAGAAAATAACTGAAATATATTTCTTTGTTCCTGAGATCTAACGTGGTCCTCTTCTGGGAAATCTTCATGGCGTCCACGAAAATGGTAGGCAATTATGACAACGAAGGTTATTAATAAAACCGACGAGGAATGAATGGGAGCCGAGTTATGCAGAGAGCAGCCAATATCATTTAGGTAAATATCTTATAGAAGTACTAACATGGACTCTACATTATCATTAGTTACAAGGGCAAGATTTTGTAGCCAGAGTAAAACTATAGACAAGGTCAAATGACATAGACGTGAAAGGCAAAATTCAGATAACATAACAGGAACAATTAAATGTCGAGGTCGCAAAGTCAAATATGTAGGAGGTGTGCTTGGATACAGGATGAGCAAGGGCAATGGGGAATTCAAGGGGAAAAGCCAAAGATATAAGCAATGTATATGAGACGCAACAGGGATAAGGGTAAAGCAAAAAGAAAACCAAAGGTTAACGCAGCAGGAACCAACGTATAGGGCCAATCGAGTCTCCCCCGTTTCTTTCCTCTTTATATGCGTCTCCAAGAACCTGATTGGCACGTATGCCAGTCTATTCAAGATAAGTCCACGCTCATCTAGATCAAAGGACAAGATCACAAACTCCCGTTAAATCGTAGCTCCATGAATGGCTCAGCCATTGATACAAATAACGTAGCTTAATCTTAAGCTTAATCTTCGAAGAAGTTGAGGATCGCGCGGATACCCCTAGAGCCCAGGCCGTGGGACGGGTAGGAAATGTAGAGCGGGTCCTCGGTGGCGCCGAGCTTAGCACGGAATTCACTCTTGCGCACAAGATGGAACTGTTTAGCGAGGGCTTCGTAGGTGTGCTCCAACATCTTGACCTTGGTTCCCTGCAAGTTGTGACCTGCGGTGAACTGGGCAGTGGCGCCAGCGCCAAATGTAAGGCCTTTGACGCCACTCTTAGCGGCGGTCTGGATTGCATGCGTGACAATGTATTCGATAGTACCGCTCGGTGCGCCGGGGAAATCGAGACTGTACTTCACTTGCATACCATGGGCAGGAGATAGCATTGCCAAAGCGACGAAGGCGCAAACGACGCCATTCCTGTCCAGAGCGTAGAAGTACCAACGGTGCTCGAAGTCGCACCATGGGCGAATCTGGGACAGGTGCACTTGCGCGCCCTTGCGATTGGACAGCCACTCGGTAATACGATCGTCAATCTTCTTGCGGATGTCGTCTGGAACCATCTCGCCTTGGTTCATAGTGACTAGCTTAACGTTCTCGGTTTCGGCGCGACGCAGCTTACGTGCAATTTCGCCGTCGGAAGCGGCTAGGTTGCGCGATGGGTCAATGCGCTCTTCGGCGATACAAGACAAACTGCGCCAGCCTAGTCGTTCGCCAAGAATAGTCTCGATTTCAGGCGAGCAGAGGATCCATACGGGCTTATACTTGGTCTCGCGGCGTAGCCACTGCAAGAATTGTGTAATTGTGCGTGTGTACTGCTTGGGATCACAGGCTGGGTTACCGGGAATGATCGCATAGTTGGAGGAGCTAGGCACGTAGGCGACAGCTGCACCAGTAGCCATGTCACGCCAGATCTTGAAGCGTTCATCAAACCAGGAGGTTGATGTAGCATCGCCGTAGTTAGCGACCAGATGTTCCAGAGGCTGTAGCTCACTGACGTCCGAAGCTGTCCGAGCCTTGTGCTCATGGTGCCACGGCGGTTCGATGGTCGATGATTCTGGGTGGCGGAGGTTTTCAGAGACAGGCTTTGCTGGCAAACTCTTGGGGTCGCGAGGGAACATTGACGTCAGCCGGATGTTGCCCAGTTTGAGGATAAGCATCATGATACGTTCCAGACCAACTCCGGCGCCCGCGTGGGGAGGTGCACCCCAGCGGAAGCCCTCAAGATAATCTTCCATATCATCCGGGTTAATGCCCACACGACGCATGTTTTCCTCCAGCATGTGGGGATCGTGGATACGTTGACCACCCGAGACAATCTCTTGCCCACGAATGAACATGTCAAATGAGTTCGTGTAGTTGTCGTCATCGACGTCGGGCATCGTGTAGAAGGGACGTGCACCGCGAGGAAATTTGTCGAGGACATAGTAATCAGTGCCGTATTTCTCCTTGACAAGCTCACCCAGGTGAATCTCATCACGGGTACCCAAGTCCTCGTCGAAAGGTAGCGGCTTGCCCTCTTCATTCAACCAGCCCGAGTCGTTCAGCATCTTGATACCATCGGTAAAACGAATGATCGGCGTCTTTTCCAGCCATACGACATCTTCAGAGGGGAACTGGTACTTGATGAGATCAATTTCGCGGCGGTATTTGGTGTAGATGCCCGTGAGGATATTCTTAATCACAGCATCAAGTGTCTCAAGCATCTCATGGTAGTGCTCATCAATAGCCATCTCAAGATCCAATCCAGTATATTCTGTAAGATGACGGTGGGTATTGGAATTTTCGGCACGGAACACAGCACCAATCTCGTAGACGCGGCCGAAATCAGAAGCGATAGCCATCTGCTTCGCCAATTGAGGAGACTGAGCGAGGAACGCAGGGCGACCGAAATAGTTGACTTCGAAGACACTCGATCCAGACTCGGTAGCAGCGCCTTGCAATTTCGGGGTATGGATTTCGATAAAGCCGCGGTCGTCAAGGGAAGTACGGAAAAGATTGCATGTCACGGACTGAAGACGGAAGATGGATTGCGAGGTTGATGTGCGAAGGTCGAGGATCCGGTTGGCCAAACGTGTCCGGTCAGGGATGTGGTTGCGGCGGCCCTCGATCTTTTCTTCTTCGGTGGTCCGAATCTCTGCCTCGTAAACACTGAAGGGGACAGGCTCCTCGCGGCGAACTTGGAGGTGAACCGAGTCAATGGCCAGCTCGACATCATGAACTGAGCAGCCCAACACTGGAACCTCCGGTTTCTGAACAGTGCCGCGGACTGTCACAAAAGAGCCCACCCGGAGGTGCTCCACCCACTGGACCATGGCGAGAGAGATTGCTCCCTCCCGCTCATGCAAAACACCTTGGAAGGTACCTAGCTGTTGACGGAATACCAGGAACACTAGTTTGGCACTCATTCGACGGATGACGTGCAGTCGTACGCTGAAAAACACTTTCTGTCCCTCCATGGCAAGACTTATGTCATCGAGCCGAGTCCGCACTTCTCGTGTTCGAACGGACGACTGCATTAAAGGAAGCTCGCCATAACGCGCTTTCATTTCTGGCGTCTCCTCGGCTGTGGATTTGGCAATTTCCTCTTCCTTGCGGCGATGGTCGGTCTCGGAGAACATTTCCTCGCTGAGACGACTGCGCTCGCTGCGACGGTGCTGACGCACCAACCGCTTCTGTTGGTTTTTGCTCAAGGCACCGGTAGAAGAGTCGTCGGAGACATCATCAGACGAAGAGATATACTCATTCTTATCACGGAGGAAGTTGCCAATGATGCTGCGACGAGGGGATGCGGTAGGAGAACCGGACCGATCTGTCGAGGTACGAACTTTTGATGGCAGAGCAGAGCGAACGTTGGAACCGGAGGAGTCATCCTCATTTCCCAAGTGTCCTCTAATGGCCTTGGAGAGGGCACGTTTAATCGACATAATGTGCTAAGTTTATGAAGGGAGGGGGGAGAAGAAAAAAGAGAAAGAGGAGGGACCTCGGGACTTTGTATATATAAGGGAAAGGTGGGGGGGGGGGTTGCGCCGGAACGGGCGATTTCAAATATTTCAACCCTGGGAAGCCCTAGAGGGTAAAGAGTCCGACAGCAAAACAGGCAACGCGCAAATGAATTAGAACAAATTGAGTCAAATACAATGACAGGCCAAGAATTGAAAGAACTAGAGTCAATCAAAACAGACACGTAAATTTCCAAACTTATAAAACCTGCACACGGCCACAGGGCTGGAAAAGGTGTGATGACATCATCCGAAACCAAGGAATCCAGATTTTCTTGGTATGGGGCCCTGGTGGTCCCTGGGGAGAACTGGCCATTGCTTTGAACTTACGACTTTGTTTCCCTATTACTCCAACGGTTTCTCTCTCGTTATTGTTATTTCCCTCGTTAGTATCATTTGGCTGTTTTGTTCTTCGTTCTTCGGTCAATGTCAGATATCTCGTCTGGTCTTCCCGTCTGCCCGTCTTATCTTCTTATCACCGCCGGCTTCCGGGCCCCTCCGATGCGTATGCCAGACCAGTAGATTGAATCCATTACTTTTCACTACAGCATCATGGCTTCGTCTCGTTGGTGGCTGTATGTACAGGCCATATTTTGGCGGTTCCTGATGCGCATTGGCATGTTCTTGCACGAGATTGGTCCGCGCCCACCCCGACCGTTATTCACCCGTACCGTGATATCCGACTCCCATTGCCATCCGGTCGTCCTCCACTTTTACTGTCCACCGGATTATCCAGAGCAGCGAAGGCTAGGCCATCGCTTCCCCGTCGCTGTTAACTTCCACGGAGGGGGTTTCACACTTGGTGCCGCTACCGATGATTCTCGCTGGGCGAAAATGGTGCTGGAGGATACCGGGGCCGTGATGGTGAGTGTCGGCTACCGGCGAGCCCCCGAACACCCTTTTCCCGCGGCAGTAGACGACGGAGTCGAGGCCCTACTGTACCTGGCAACACATGCCAGTGAACTGGGATTGGATGTGAGCCGAGTGGCGTTGAGCGGGTTCTCGGCAGGCGGCAACCTGGCTGTCACGGTGCCGTTGCGACTGCGTGGCAGAATATCCACCGAAGTAAAAGAACATTTGGGTCGAGCGGAATCCACACAAAATCTGCTCAGTCAGGTCGGCGACCTCAACATCGTTGCGTTGTTCTCTTGGTATCCGATTCTGGACTTTGAAGAATCTCGTGATCACCGTCGCGCTATGAGTCTGATGCCGGACAAGACTCTCCCTGCATTTTTCACCACACTCTTTGATGAGGCCTATCTTCCTGATTTGGACGAACGCATATCCCCCTACGCATCTCCCATCCACGCGTCTGACCGTATCCTGTCTGAAGCTCTTCCCCGCGACGTCTTTTTCTTTATTTGCGAGTGGGATATGTTGATGAAGGAGGGTCAATCTTTCGTTCGCCGATTAGAGAGCCTCGGTAAACGTCCTCGGGCTATGCTTATTGAGAAAGCCCGACATGCGTGGGATAAGTCACCTAACCCGTGGCGGGACCAAAATCGCGTGGACCTTTTATACCGCGATGCCTGTGCGGATATGAAGGCTATCTTTGACCGGTGATCGATTTGCTTGACTATCAATCTTTCCATGTTTTCTTTTCTTAGCACTGCGGGCTTGGCCTTGGCGTTTGAACCATTCATGGTGTCGACTTTACATAGCGTTTTTGATATGTTTATCCTACTATCACTTTATTATCCTAGTCTACAACGTACATAAAGTGTACATGTAGCTGACTTATCCGATTGCATTCGATTGTATTGGCTGGGATCATGTATCCACCCCGGTGGCAAGCTTAAAAACAAGCGGAGATGGAAACATACAACGCCTATATGCTAACAAAAGGACGGCCTACATATGTACGATGGGCCAAATAATATCACTCGGAACCTCCTCCTTTCCATTGTAGTGCTCATTTCTTGCCACTTTTTGACCGCAGGTAAAGACACTACCTCAATGCGTATGTATAACCTCCGCCACTTCTTGGTCACTGGCAGGTATGAAAGCACCTGGCACAAGCAATACTCATATTTGCGCCAGCAAAGCTGCACACCGCTGAGCGGAGTTTTTCGTGCCTACAAAAGACATGCTGGGATGATTATCGAGACCGATTTCAACAAGTGTCGAAGCTAAAAATGTTAAGAAACAAATCATCTCGATCGAAACAGTGTGGACTCACCTTCAGGATCATAACTGGGCCATCCCAGGGCTTCCAGTCCGTGTTGGGGATCAGCGATGAATGAGCCCCAGGCGGATCGCATCTGAACCCGCAGCTGGCGCTGCGCATCAGACTCAGCAATCCCAGTAATCTCAGCAGATTCTCCGAAAATCATGTTAAATTCGACGCCATGGTATGCTCCACTAGTAGGGTAAAGACGGGTATTCTCCCAATCCGCGTTGTATTGAAAGCGCCAAACTGGTGTATGTCGACGACTTCGGTGTGCTGCTTCGAGATTGGATGGGCAGAAGAATGTTTGCATGTTGAAATCATCCCACTGCTCGTCTGTCAGCGTCGATCCCTGGGCGTAGGTCGCAATCTTGTAGAATCCCGCTTCATTGGCGTTGTGCCCGACCAAGTAGGGCTGTTGGAGAATATGGTTAGTAGCTACATTGACCCATCGACTATATTTGAGATGTAGGAGAGCCCACTCACGATGCGGGCGAATTTTCCTTGCTGCGAAAGAAGAGTGTAATTCTCAAAAACAGTCACGTCGTCCATAGTGGGCTGGAAAGCCGGGGATTTCCTCGCAGGGTTTGTAGTCGGAACCTTCACTGCACTAGCAGCGGCGAGAATGGCGCTCGCATTCTGCTTTCTCATGCACGGCAGGACATCCCCTGAAGACCCACAGCCCAATTGGGCAGACACAGTATACCAATGCTCCGCTGCAGTTGTTCTATTATTTGTTGGGAAGCTGAGAGCTGTGCCGGAATGCGAGATCAAACCGGTAACTAGGGGTTCGGACTCGTAGGCGTATGCCCAATAATCAACGGAAGCACTTCCGCAAGACTGGCCAGATATAATGATGCGGTTGGGATCGCCCCCGAATCCATGAATATTTTGCTTCACCCATTCAACGGCTAAACGTTGGTCTAGTAGACCAAGATTAGGAGGGTGTCCAGGCAGACCAGGAAACCCGAATATGTTCATGCGGTAGTTGACCGTCACAACGATTACATCCTCAGTATCAGCAAATCCGCCTCCATAATAAAAAGGAGTATCGGTCGTGCCACTTGTCCATCCTATATCATGGATCAGAAACAAGACATTGAAAATAAGTAGCAAAAACTTACTACCACCGTAAAAATGAACATAGACGGGCTTGAGTTGATTTGAGTCTGGCTTTGACCAAATATTCAGAGTCAAGCAGTCTTCACTTTGAGTGTTGTTATTAATAGCCGCGAAGGCCTCGAAGATGCTGTCAAATTGCGGAGTTTTGTCGGGATAGTCGACCAGCTTCGACACCGAGTACACGCAGTCTCTGTAGATTGCTGTTAAAGAAAGTAGAATATAATCACCACAAATAGCACTCACTTTCCCTATGTTACGTTCATGTCAGACATTCATACATTTCATGCACTTCGGGTGTAAGGGATAAGTTGAGACCATACATATTCTGAGGCGATGTGAGCACCCCTGGGCGTGTAAGGTTGGGGCGGTGCGAATCGCAATTGTTCGACCGGCGGCTGCGCGTAGGGAACTCCGAGCCATTCCGTGACCCCTGGATTCTTTGATGCCTCATGGCCCTGGATGATTCCATTCGACCCGACATGGGCCTGTCGCGCTACGGCAACCACCGCGAAGGCCAGCCATATTACTCGCATGATCAAAGATATCCTTGATTGAGTCGGAGGGGCAAAATCAAAGGAAAATAGACTGTGAAAGAAACCGCGTGTTGAAAATCGATTGACGGGCCTTGCATATATATGTAGCCTGTAGAGGTAAGCCCTAGTCGATCTGGCGTGCTTTGATTCAGGTCCGCTGTCTCAAGTCCCCATTTGGCCCCCAATGAGCCGTCCCAGGTCACATCTAATGCCTGCTAGTGGCACACCGGAAGCCTTGATCCTTGATCTCGTTTGAAACAGAGATACAGTTCTCTCTTCTGGCCCGTACATACTCATGAAATGCACATAGGCTATGATCGTTCCGATCTAATCCAACCCCATTTGACTTGACAATGTTATCCAGAGTGTGACATTTTATGGCCAAACAACTGACGGTATCCCAGATAGGGGCCATGTGCTTTTCATCACCGCGCTTGTAATGGTGCTCACTGCGGCCATTTTTGTTACCATTCGACTAGCAACGAGGATTCATCTGAAGGAATTTGGTTGGGATGACCTTTTCCTCGTCATCGCCCTAGCGGCATCGGTCATGACAACAATTGCTATCAATTTAGGTAAGTCAAAAGACATCTGCGGCGGGTCTTTTAGTCATAAGCTGACCTTTGGTTTCCAGCCGTCGTGCATGGCTATGGCAGGCGAAAAGCAGATATGGGAGAGGGTATACATATAGCTCTTAAGGTGCAGTGATATCAACGGTAGCTAATGCTCGTTCAAATCTCTAACACTCCACCAAGTGGTTTTTTGTTGCCCAGATTCCATATAAGATTGCTCTCGGCTTCACCAAAGCTTCTATCGTCCTCCTTTACCTCCGAGTATTTATTACCGAGTCTTTCCAGCGTGCGGGAAAGGGTTTCCTAGCTGTCATCGCCGCATGGACAGTCGCATCAGTCCTCGTCACAATCTTTCAGTGTATCCCGATTGAAGCTTCTTGGAACCATAAGATCAAGGTCAAACAATGCGTGGATAAAGATAGCTGGTGGTATGCATTTGCGTGAATCAACACGGTTACTGACGTTCTGATCGCCATTCTCCCCATTCCCCCAGTTCGCCACCTGAAGCTTTCAAAGCGCGACCGGATCGGGTTGTGTTTTGTTTTCGGTGTTGGAATATTGTATGTATTATCTCATCCTCCCTTCTCTTTGCATTGATCAGGAGTCTAATGTATACGTAGTGTCTGTGTCACTAGTATCATGCGTACGGTTGCAGTGTCTCAAACATCGACTGGCTTAGACCAAAGCTGTGAGTATATTGGAAGCCTCGAAAAAAAGGAAGTCAGAGAACAGCTGCTGATAAAATCCCAGTATAGGGGATTTCATCCCTCGCTCAGTCTGGACTCTGGTCGAGTGCAATATGGGAATAATCTGTGCGTGTCTCCCTATGATGCGCCGGCCGCTAAGTTTTCTGTTTCCGTGGCTTTTCAGAGGCTCTTCTCGGAATGAATCAGAAAGACTTAGCTATGTTCCCATTGAGTTGAGGTATACCAATCGCTAACAGCGTCCGCAAGGGAGTGAAAGCCAAGAGGAAATTCTACAGTCAAATGTACGAGGTAAAGGGCGTTGACTGAGCAATAAGATAATCACATCTTTGTTACGACAGATTCCTGTCGGTTTTTCGTTGCTTGCAGCTTCCAAACTCTGTACAACACCTTTAAATTAAAGAAAGAATCATCCAAACGATATTAATGATCCTCAATATCTGGCTGTCGCTTATTTACCAGTCTTTTTGATACTACTGGTTAGCGCCATGGTCAGATTCGCAAACAAACAGTTATGGCACTGGGGGTTATTTCCATCTAGAAAAGAGGCCTTGGTTGGTCTATGATAACACGATTATAGAGCAAGTTTTCATTTAAACTACTATTACAGCTTCTGCGAGCTTCTCAGTTGGACAATGGAATATTTGTATCAATGTAATGCTGAATTTTGCAGAGGCAGTGTTTCGCTGCGATGAGTAATTCCGCCAGAGGTCTTCAAGAGGTCTGAGTGGTCACACAAGGATAGTCATATCGTGTTACTATGCCAGGCCAAGCAAACGATTTACACACCACCAGGAAATCTTCCTGGTTAAAGTGCCCACCGAATGAGGTATTTGGTGGATGAATGTTGAATGTAACAAATCGAGAGTAGTGGTTTGTAAATTTTTGAACAAACAACTCAAAATTCGTCCCTCAAGCCTGTCTCCTGCTCCTCGCTCAACCGTTTCGCATTCAATGTTTTCCACCATGCGTGCGATGGGTCTTGGCTCGGTCCAGTTTCATCCCATGGCTTCGGGCTGAGGATGTAATGTACATTTTTCACATTCTCATCGCGCCATATAGCGTCATGTACACCTTCCCACCGCAAGGTTTTGAGTGCGTTGTATATGTACGGGAGTGCAACCCAGCGACCATAAAACAGGTCACCGAGAAGGGACTGATCGGCAAAATCATAATTCGATGTTGTAGAAGCACCAAGCTGTGCAAGAATCTTCTCGTAGGTTGCCTGAGCTGGGATCACCACCTGTAGGCCTCCATTGGGTATCCCCAACCCTGAAGTGGGTGAAGCACCGGCGGTTTGCGCGATGTCGGGATTTTCATGCTGCGTAGTATATGCGCAATTGGCCGGAATCCTTTCAGAATTATCGAATTAGCTGCACTGTATGTCGCGCTTGAATGTTCCCAAATAAAGGTTGCTCTTACCAGTCTGCGGGATAGTGAGGTTTATGAAGCGGATTGCAGCTGCAAGCATGGCTAGCGGCAAAGACTCGATCTCCGTTTCCAGCCATTTCTGGTGAATCCAATTCGACATCCATTAATTCATCCATATTTTTAAGGACTAGCATGTCACTGTCAAGTTGTACGATACGCTCATATTCAACAAGTGAGAACGGTGTGAGTTTACTCCAACAATCGTAGAATCGTACATCGTTGGTGAAATCCTTGGGAGCTGACGGCAGGAGATACGGTACATGGCGCTTCAAAATTTTCCGGGAATCAAGGGCTTTGTGGCCTTCGGCAGGGAATGTGTCCGTATAGAGCACGACAAGCGGATACTTTGACCCGACCTTTCTGAGAGAGTACTCAAGGGTCAAAAGCCCAGAGAGGTATGCAGTATTTGTTATGAGGGTGGTCCACACTGAGAATTGTTATCATCCGGAGAAAGAAAGTATTGTAGAGTTTCAGATTGCCCTGTCGATCTGTACCTTTTGAGGCATGTGGCTTGAGGATATTCTCGTCCATGATTTGATTGTGGCGCTGATAATTGCTTTTTTTTTAGCTCTGACTGTGATTGATCAGGTGAGAAGCCAGCACTCACATTTAGCAATTGTAACGATTGGAATTGGCTGTTGCACTAAGTACAATGCAGATACAGGGAGTTAGTGGAGTGACAAGGGAGCGCGCAGGCGCATTGTGGGTGAGGGGTTCCCGAGGTCCCTTCCTCCGGTATCGGTCTACCCAATGAGGGGTTAAGGGTTAGTTGTGGTGTGCATGCAATTAGTTAGCATATCGTTAGGCTGGATAACACTAGACTGGAAAGAATTTATTAGCGAAACACTATTATACGTCGGATTTACAATCAGAGTTCTTTAGGCTAATTAGAGTAGTCCCGTGGCTTGACCTAGTTTCTATTTGGTTCATAACTACGGAGTATGTACCCCGTATTGATATTTATGCTCTAGGTGAACTGCATAACTATCGATGTATTAAACTACGTTTATTTTCTATGTACTTCTTCGGTTAAAACTATGTGGTCTTACTCCGAATGCTAATACCTCAAAGATACAAGCTTGCATGTAGCGAGCCGAAACACAGAGATTTTAGGGCTTGGTTGCTTAACCGCTGACGCTAGGCTCAATGCAAATTGATGTGCATCGATATAGAGTGATTGGACATCTCCGGGTGCATACTTGCATTAGATTATAGCCCAACACATAATAGTAGGTCTAGATTTAGGCTCCCTGTTTACTTATCTGAAGTTATTGCAATATTAAAGGAACTGTTGAGAAGCAGAAAGCCGAGTACTGCATTGTACCTTTTCATGGTCGATTCATCGAGGGCTACGTGATATCCTCGTTGCTTTTGCAAGGGAAAGGGTGGACCACTATCGAAACCGTTTAGCAGAGACACTCTGTCTTGCGGTAGCAAAATGGCCAGAAAGATTAGAAGCCAGGGGATGGGACCCGCGGTTTGTGAGAGAAGATATGGCAGCCATGGCATCAAGCGCTGTTATGGCGGGCTAGGGGAATTCAGAAGATGTCGTCAGGATCGTGACTGAAATAGCAGCGACTTTATCGGGTGGACCAATTTCAGCACTTGATGAGACGAGGTTTTGGAGGGACGCAGGTCCCACATCTGATTCTCCAATCCTTGACCCGATGACCGTCATCGCTCTTGTCAAGTGCTTTGTTCTAGAGTGGAGTATTGACTTGAACTACCAGATGTACCACGATTTTCCTCTAGAGACGTACCTAGGATGAACAGATAACAACTGTTCGAAAACTTAACATTTTGTCCTTACTTGTGACCTCACTTTAGTATACTTCCCATGAACTGAGTATAGCAACTGTCCCCATCTCCGTACTGAGGACTCTGTAGTCCATAAGTGCTCTCCGTTGCGGTCTGAGCTGAGAGGGTCTCTGAAATTGATCGACTGTTGTCTAGCCCTAGGTCAGGGATACATTCATATGGGCCTGGGTACACCGCCTGTATACAGCCAGCAAGCGAACAAAGAATGCTCAAATACCAGTCAACTCGTATCAAGATGACTCACTACAGGGGGTTGTGCCTGAAGGTCACATGTCAGGAGATTTCATAAATCTCACTTTCTTTGTTTAATCCTCTCTTGCAAATCCTAGGCACATATTTTGCACTCAAACAAGCATATTTGGATTTCTCTATCTCAGTTATAGCCCATAATGGCACTCCAACCAAACAAATGGCCGGCTAAAACAGTTCGAGACACGTTCCTCGATTTCTACAAAGAGAGGAACCATATTTTCAGTGAGTATTTCATGTTTGAATTGACCTGCACAAAATAAGTGACTCATTGAACAGCGCTTTCGTCCTCGGTCATTCCGCACAACGATCCCACTTTACTCTTCACCAATGCTGGCATGAACCAGTACAAGTCCATCTTCCTTGGTACTGTCGATCCGCATGCAGACTTTGCCTATTTGAAGCGTGCTACCAATTCCCAAAAATGCATTCGTGCAGGTGGAAAGCACAACGACCTCGACGACGTGGGAAAGGATAACTATCACCACACTTTCTTTGAGATGCTAGGCAACTGGTCCTTCGGTGACTATTTCAAACAGGAAGCCGCTGAGTACTCGTGGGAGCTGCTCACATGCGTGTTTGGCCTTGACCCCAGCAGACTCTATATCACCTATTTCGAAGGTTATGCCCCCCTAGGTCTTGGCCCGGACATTGATGCTCAAGAGATCTGGCGTGCTATTGGCGTACCTGATGACCATATCATCCCAGGAAACATGAAAGATAATTTCTGGGAGATGGGCAGCCAGGGACCGTGTGGACCCTGCAGTGAGGTCCACTATGATAGAGTCGGTGGACGAAACGCCGCTTATCTGGTCAACCAAGATGACCCCGACGTCGTGGAGATCTGGAATATTGTTTTCATTCAATTCAACAGGGAGGCAGACAAGTCTTTGAGATCCTTACCGAACAAGCACATCGACACCGGGTTAGGCTTCGAGCGCCTGGTCTCGATCGTGCAAGACAAGTCATCGAATTATGACACAGACCTCTTCTCCCCTCTCTTTGAAAAGATACAGGAAATCACAGGAGCTCGTCCATACCAAGGAAAGTTCGGCGCCGAAGATGATGGCATTGACACCGCCTACCGTGTTGTGGCCGACCATGTCCGCACATGCACGGTTGCGATTTCTGACGGCGCTGTACCTGATAGCGTCGGTCGCGGTTACGTTGTACGGAGAATCTTACGACGTGGTGTGCGATACGCGAGAAAGTACTTTGACGCGAAAATCGGTTCTTTCTTCTCGAAGATTGTGCCTACAGTTGTCGAACAGATCGGGGATATCTTCCCTGAAGTCAGAAGGAATGAACAGACCGTGAAGGAGATCCTCAACGAAGAGGAAGAAGCTTTTGCTTTAACTCTAGACCGAGGAGAAGCGATGTTTGGCAAATATGCGCAGAAGTGTCATGAGAGCGGTTCAAAGGACCTCCCCGGAGCTTACGTGTGGCGACTATACGACACGTATGGGTTCCCGGTTGACCTGACGAAGCTTATGGCCGAAGAGCAAGGTCTGAATATTGACGAGGACGAAGTATCCGCCGCCCAAGAGATGGCCCGAGAGGCTAGCAAAGGCGAAAAGAAGAGTGCATCTGATCTCGTCACGCTCGATGTTCACGATCTCGCTGCTCTAGAGAATATAGTTGGCATGTGTAAGACAGATGATGTGGCTAAGTATAGGAAAGGTTCCATCCAGTCAACTATTAAGGCGCTATACTATGGTAAGACATTTGTGACAAGCACGTCCGACGTCCCAAATGGCGCACAGTTTGGTGTCCTTCTCGATAAGACCAATTTCTACGCTGAAGCTGGCGGTCAAATTTTCGATACTGGACGATTGGTCATCGACGATGTTGCCGAAATTGATGTCCGTAATGTGCAGTCATATGGAGCCTACGTATTGCACACTGGCTATATGAAGTACGGCATCTTGAAGATTGGTGACACGGTGATCTCTGAATATGACGAGTTGCGGCGGCAACTGATCCGCATGAATCATACCGGCACTCATATCCTTAACTTCGCATTACGAGAAGTTTTAGGCGGAGAAGTCGGGGTCGCTTGTCGCGCCAGAGAAACTACGCTTCGACTTTTCGCACAAATCTGGCCTCACTGAGGAGGAGATTGAAAGAGTCCAAGAGATCTGTCACAATTACATCAAAGATGATCGACACGTATTTGTGGCGGACGTCACACTGGAGAATGCACGTCGGATCGAAGGTGTACGCACTATTGTGGGTGAGACGTACCCTGATCCAACCAGGGTTGTTTCGATCGGAGTCCCTGTCAACGCCCTGGTTGACAATGTTTCCAAGAACCGGTGGACCTACAGTGTCGAGTTATGTGGAGGCACACACGTTGACAGGACCGGTGAGATCAAGGATATGGTCTTGCTGGAGGAGTCCGGGATCGCAAAAGGTGTCCGACGCATTGTGGCTGCTACCGGTCAAGAGGCGCAAGAAGCCCGACAGAATGCAGCTCGTCTTGAAGAGCACTTGGTGAGTATGGAGCAGATGTCTATCTCCCCGGAGAAGGAGGCACTTGTCAAGCAGGCACAGGCCGAACTCGCCACGTCAACAATCTCAATTTTGGACAAGAAATTGTTCGCAAGGCGACCCGAAGGAAGCATCAAAGAGATGATGAAAGAGCAAAAAGAAACGCAGAGAAGTCAAGTCGATGCTGCCATCAACCATGTCAAAACCGTCATCGATGATAACCCAGCCAGCACCTCGTTTGTTGTCAACATCCCGACTGATTGTTCCGCCAAAGTTATCACGGAGGCCATTAAGCATGTCTCTTCTATCCACGACGACAAGAGCGTGTATTTCATAGGTGTAGATGCCACTGGCAGGGTTGCCCACGGGTGCTTTGTCTCGCCGGTAAGTTTGTTTCAAGGAATAGAAGGGGCTGTTTTAACCTATATTACTAGAAACACATCTCGAATGGGCTGGTGGCAAATGAATGGGCTGCGCAGGTTGCGAAAGTCGTGGGTGGAAAGGCTGGTGGAAAGGGTCTTATAAGTATGGGGAGCGGACCGGATAAGGCCAAAGTGGAGGATGGGATGGTGGCTGCGAGAATGTATCTCCAAGAACTGCGAATTTAATCATTTGAGAAGATCCTGGATAGAATGCATGCACTGTGGATTGAAGAAGAAACAATCCGGCCATATCGAAGTCAGATAACTCGAAACCTACACAAATCAGCCTCAAAACCTACAGGTGGAGATTAATGTGTCCACCAGCCAATAGAAACGACCAATTTCAAATTTCCAAGTGATTCAGTCGCTTAATCGGGACTTTAAGGGTCCTAATGAAATGAGGTCTCACTTAAAAATAGGGTCCTAAAAAAAGTCAGGGGGAAAAGAATATCGTGATGGACATCTCAATCTCTCAGCATCACCCTAACCAATCCCACGGCATTTCCCGGATTGATAGAGTGGTGTATTATTCCCTCTCTGGAACCCATTTCTACTTCTACACCGTCACACCGTAACCATGCGTGCTCAGGGGCGGACATTCACAAAATTCTCAACCGCAAGCATACTGATCCTATCATGTCTCTTCTTCATCCTCTATTACCACCCCCTGAGAGAAGCAACACCAGAAAGCTACCCAACATATGATCTATCTAGAAAGGGATTCCAGCTGGCGTCGCCGCGGATCCCAGAGAAGATCTGGTACAAAGTTGGACCTAAAGGATTGAGCGACCAGTCAGAGGAATGGCTGCACGATTGTCTCCACAAAAACCCAGCGCATAGCGCGCAGATCATGACCGACCTCACGGGCGATCAATATGTGCAAGATAACTTCGGCGATCGGCCCGATATCGTCGACGCCTACCTTTCTCTCTCGGTGCCGATTCTGAAGGCGGATTTCCTGCGCTATCTGCTTCTCTTCGTGGAAGGGGGCATCTGGGCTGATCTGGATGTCTCGTGTGGGGATGTACCCATTAGAGAATGGATCCCCGAGACTATGCGTGCTAAAGCTCGGCTGGTTGTTGGGTGGGAGTTTGATGTGGGCTGGGGGGAGAATTTCATCCGGCAGTTTGAGAGTTGGACGATTATGGCGGCGCCTGGGTCGCCGCATCTGTTCATGGTTATCAATGATATTATGGAGGGCATTCGTCAGAAGACGGAGGAGTATCAGGTTCCGGTTTCCGGGTTGACTTTGGATATGACGGGTGATGTGATCGACTTTACCGGGCCGAGGCGATTGACTCGCGGGGTTTTGAAGAGCTTGGAATTGGCTCGCAATGAGACGATCGATATGGCGAGTATCTCGAATCTTTTGGAGCCCGTTTTGCTCGATGATGTTTTGATCTTGCCGGGGTATTCGTTCGCTGCGTCGTCGAATTCTTACAGCAATGTGAATGTGACTGGTCCTTCATTGGTCCAGCATCATTATGCCGGCAGTTGGAAGAATCACAATGGTGGTGAGATCTGACCATGGATATGACTTCATGTACATTTGATTTTGTATAGAGCCATGTGATTTATAAGGCAGTTGGGTCTTAGACCGTTAGAAGAGTTCACGAAATTTCATGTAATTATTTTCCCATTTTTTGAACAGCTAGATTTATCAGCACTATGGTAGTACACGAGGCACAAATTTCCCAGGATTCCACCGGACAGTTCCGTGAAGAAGAACGATATCGTCAGTCATAAGGTATCGGGAACTTTTTGTGAAAAAAAAAGAAAGAAAAAGTTGAAGAGAAAAGATCAAATTGCAAATATTGATGGAAATCCCGGACGCCACGCTGAAGTAACAAAAAAATGGAACGAAACATGGAGTCCTGATTCGAGGAAGATAGATAGTGTCAAATTCACTCCTCGTCGGTCTCCGTGGCATCCTCGCCGTCTTCATCGTCGGACTCGTCAACTCCGCTGTCTGACTCGTTTCCCCCGTCGAGACCTGGAATACCGCGCCACTCGACGTAGTCACCTTCCAACCAGCGACGGCTACGGGGAAGCTGGTAGGGATCGAAGGGGAAGTATGCATCCAGTTGATAGCCGAGGTGATCGCCGGCGCGGATCTCGCGGCCGACATGGTTGAAGCGAGGATCTGAGAGATTGGAAAGGCTCCTGAAGGCAGTAACGCGAATGCGCTTGTTGGTCTCAAGGAGAGGGTAGACGTATAGGAATTGGAAGTGGTGGGCGATACGGGCGAATTCGGCGACGATGGCCGGCGAGCATACCTTGAGCGGGTTCAGTCGCGAATAGATGCATTTGTGAAGGAATTCTTTGATGTTGGGAGGGAATGCGATCTGGCCCGGCTCAAGCTCGTCCACCTGAGCCGCAGTATCACCATCGACGGCAGCGGTTGTCAGATCGCGCCACCGGAAACAGAAAATGTACAGCAGAGCCTGGGCGGTGGAGTAGAAAGGTCCGTAGCGACGAAGATCGGGCCCGCGGCAGCTGTCCTCATAGTCCATACGTAGGCTGTTGAGGTGTGTGAGGAGGAGATCGAAGACGTCGCGAACAACTTCTCCCGAGATATGGGCACCACGGGCAACAAAGCTAGCCAGGTATGCGGCTGCTGACTGGCGCAGGATATTGGGCTGCAGCTTGTTGAAGATGAGCTGTACAAATGTGGCTGCGAAGCGATCCACGAGCACGGGCGAAGCCTGGGAGAAATGGAACAAGAGGAATTGCGAGTGACGGGATCGGTATGTAGGGAGGATGATCGTCTGGAAGTGACTGAGGAGCAGGTCTAGCGCATTCTCCTTATCATCCAGGGTGCCCGAGGTGAACGGGGGTGAGAAGTATTCGAAGAGGATATCAATCATCCCGTCCACTTTGAGAATGTTATCCTTGATCTTCTTAGGCCCCTTCATGTCGTCCTCTTCCGAATCTTCGCTAGAAACCGAGGCATCATCATCGTCATCCGAATCATCAATCTCATGCAAGAATTCATCGCCGACTTCCTCTTCAAAGTCCTCCATATCAACCTGGATTTCAACGTCGACCTTGACAAGCTTCTCGGTAATAAGCGCCAGGATGTCGGACTGAAGCTCTGGGGCGTAGGTAATGATGTGGATGAGATTGCGGGTATAGGCAATGTTCGCGCTAGCTGGGTCTGTGTCGAAGGGAAACTGGGCAGACAAAATCGGGGAGAGTGACCCACTACCGGCCGGGATGAGCCGCAGCACATGGCGCATTGCCATGTGGACTCGAGTATGCATTTCGGATGGTGTCACAACAGCGTAGCCAGGGAGTCGACCGCGTCTTCGAGGGATGGACCCGAGATTTGTGGCTAACATCTTCAAGACGGGTCCAAGGAAGGTACCCTGTGCGGCGGCAAGGTTGCCCAGGAACCGGATATACAGCTTCACGTAGGATTCGTCCCGTCCGAGCCACTCGCTGTTGATGATGGCATGGACCAGTCCGCTGCAGGAGCGGTCCAAGGAGGCAACATGCGAGATCAGACCAAGAAGGTGGTTTTTCAAAGATGTGTGTGTTGGTGATTCATATGCAAGCAGGCTGTCATCGTCTTGCTTTGTTGGATCGGCAGAAAACATTCCCTTGATTCGGTCGTAGCCCTCGCTTTCTGACATCGTAACATGTCGGTGGATAGCCCGGCGCATCTCCTCCCGAATGAATGTCAGACTCTTCTCCGACGATGTATCCTCATATATCTTCACATCTTGATCGAACTGTACGCGGGGTCGCTTCTTGGTAGGAGGAAGGGCTTCTGTCGCGTCATCGGCCTGGGATGAGGACGGGGATAGGGGGAGGTCCATCTCGCTCATTTTGCGTTTCGAGCCGGCGACCACAGGAGGAGCCTTCGAGTTTTTGAGAATCGGGACTGGAGAAGAAGCCGGAAGCATTTTAGATCGAGATATCGTGGGTGTGGCCAGTAGCGCCGGTTTGCGTGAAGTCGTGGCTAGGGAGACCATGGCCGAATGTGCGGAAGAAGAGATGTAGGACGGGTTCTAGGCAGAAACCGGTGTCGACATTTGCTTTTCTGCACTCTGGCAGAAATCGAATCCAGTTGACTTTCAATTCAACGGAGCTTATCGAAGACTGATCCAAGCACACGACACTTTTCACGTCGAGATCTTGAGGATTATGCTACAGATTGGAATAGGAGAAAAAGGCAACAGTCTGTCTGCATCCGTGGGAGTCCAGTTGTTTGAGATAGATAAAATCGGATGCAGACAGAATGGTCGAGTTGCTGGATTCCAAGCAAAGCAAAGTGAAATTTTTCCTTTTCCTTCGGTCACTTGTGGAGCCCGGCGGATACCCGTGACCGTGTCGGTGAGCCCTACGCTATACCTAATTGGGTAATATTGACTTATGTCATCATGTACTCATTGTCGGATTGTAGAACTACATCATCACATCTTACTTTGTTCGACGTGCAAGGTAGTTTTAAACGTGTTTATTGGATCATATTTGAGATTCGGAATGAGACATCACATAAGACTCCCAAAAAGTCGCTAAAAGACCGCAGAACCATCATCAAGTACGGTATGAAGCAGTTGAACCCAAATGATACATCAATGCATAACGATAAAAAGACCGTCTAGTACGGGAAGAAGTGAAAAAAATGGCATGAATCAATTCGAAAAATCAAGATTGAGCGCGGGAACACAAGGTCCTCCCATGGTATCGTGTAAAACAAGGGGCAATAGTCGTGAAAGAAAGAATAAGAGTTGGTCGTCTTGGCGGGTCAAGCAAAGAAATATCCAGTCCCTTGCAAGTCCGCAATCTCGTGTCGTTGATCACCCCGGATCAACCGGGGGGCAGCAATTACGCTAGAACCAAGATGTGGTCATAGGCCCACGTGTGTCCTCGAAAATGCTGCCGTACAATTCTTCAACTTCGACAAGATAATCTTCGACGGAGAACTTCTTGAGCCCCTTGGCATAGAGAATCCGCTCCTCATCATCGTGCATATTGAGGCCACAAAAGTCCTCTACGACTTCGTTCACCTGCTCTAGCTCTTTGCCGAATGGATGCGGCTCGGCCTGGAAGAATTCCTGTGATGCACGAATGGTCGGTGTGGTGCGCGCTGCATTCAGCGGCGGCGGGGACATCCTCGAGACTGAGCGCTTGTGAGCGAGCTCCTGGTGTGACCGCTTGGTGTGGGACAGAGCTCGCTTAGGCACCATCGGAGCATCTGTATTTGACGAAGACGTGGAGGAGCGCGGGTGGCTTGTCACCGAGGCCGTGTGCTTCGGGAAATACGATGCCAACGGGTTTGCATCAATGGGAGAGCTCCCGTGAGGAGAGACATCGGGCGAGGACACCGAAGACGCGTAGCTTTGCGGGGAAAATGCGTTGTCGGAGTCGTCGCGCGATCCTAGTGATGAGGCAGATGAAGAGCCGGCTGAGTAAACTGGGCTGATGTCGGGTGCGTTGTAGGCCAGCATGTTGGTCGTAGACAAGAGCTGCACTGGTCCAGATATGTTGCTGCGCTTTATACTTGCCGAGTTGAGTCGCAAATTCCCTTCGCCACGATACGGCATGGGTGCAGACACCTCTGGGCGCTTATTGCGCCGGGTGAATGCTCTCGTGAGGGTTGACATGATTTGGAAATTTGGTCAAATTTAAAATATGGCAACGGTGCGTTTCAGCGTGGTTGTAAATTGATTTAGAATTTTACACATGCAATGTGTGCGACTTCGTTCGTTTTGGAGTCTGGTCGCTCTTTGCGATCGGATGCGTTGAGTCTCGCGTGGTGAGACGATCGCGGAAAGAATGTCAGATCAACTGGAATGTCCAGTATCAGATCGAAGTGTGTGTAGAATTTCGAATTCTAGTTCACAGTAGAAAATGAATGTCGGGTCCTCTTGATTTCGCACAGCAAAATGTAGAGAATAACAGCCTCAAGGAATGTGTTTGAAATAAAAGAATCAAAGGAGTCCAGGATCTCAGATCGCTTTGTATCTAGGACTTAAAGAATAAAAGAATAAGGAGAGAATGAAGGAACAAGGACACAATCCCAAGGAGGTTGGAAGAAGAAAGAGAGGGGGTTTCCTCCTTACGGGGGATTATGGGCGCTACACCAGCGTTTGACCAAAATTCACCTGGACCAGTCGCAGGACACCCAAAGGATGCCGATGGAGCCCAATCAAAGAGTTCGGTCTAGAATATTTGGCTTCTCAGGGCCCAGTTGTTCTTGACGATCACACTGGTTCATCCAGACTTTTGATCGTTTGCCTCATTCTACGGTATACGAACTACGCCTAATATTGGTTGACCTTGAAGGGGGCACTACAGGTACTTCCGGACCCCCGAGTTGGTTCCAGCCCCATCTTCCAGGGCTATCTTCCAGGGTCGGATATGTGCCTGGGTATGGAGGGCGTACGTGTTCAACGTGTTCGTGTTCGACGTGTCCACGGGTCCTGCGGTGGCCCTGAGTTGATATGAAATAACCTCCCTAGAACATGACACATACAGCGGGATGCGACAATACCCCGAAAATAATATAATTGAAACGGATGCAGGTCCGAACTCTTAGTCTGAAGGCACGGGCGTTTCACCAACCACTTGTATCAGTTCTATGCTCAAAGTAGTCTGTGCTCCGTGACCCGTTTGGCTCGAATTTAGCCCGGTAGACGTCCAATCAGAGGGGTTGGCTGGATGAACTCAGGTCAAGGGGTCTTGGTGCTAGCGCTTGCCTGCAGCTGACCGAGTCCGGAGGGTTTGGAGAACTCCTAAATCACAGAGATGGTGTGCTTGTTCTTTCAGTGACTGGTGGATGTGGAGTATTGGTGTTTAAAGTCCTTCATCTCAGACTCCACCGTGGAAAATGTGTGGAGTGGAGTGAGCCCCGCTAGGGCCGTATCATGTCATGTGGTATGCGAGGCACTGCATGTCGTGTTGTATTGTGAACCTTGGAATTGCGCCTTGATCATGTACTGCTTTCACTCGACAAGGCCATTCTGGTATTTTGCGTCCTTGAAAGGTTCCAAACAACACGTGATGTGGTGACACAAGCATAGCTCCGCAATGGCTTGGCCCGTTACAGATAAGCCACCCGGGCTCTATAAGGAAGGAGCAGAAGCTTCAATAGTATTGTGTTGTGTTTAGAACACATCAATTTAAAAGTAAAGTCTCGGGTTATTGTGTGATAGCTCCTCCGCTTTGCTCGACCCTGCAGATGCATTGGCATCCACCGAGATACCCACAGCATCCTCGACGCTAGTTATTCCGTCTCGGGAACTACCTGGAGATGGCATTATTGATTCAGGCCCCACCGCGACTTGGTCTCCAAAATATGCCTGCGAAGCTATCACCCCAGGGTGGGGCTGATGAGCATCGTACGAACCCACCGAACTGACCCTGTTGTCCCTTTGCCATGCGTATGAGACTAGTCCGGAATGAGGCTGATCTCCCGAGGGCTGTGATTTATCATGGCTAGGAGTCATAGGAACCGCGTAGCCACGTCCCGGTGTGTCTGAAACGACGTCACTTGATTGCTCAATGGTAAACCGGTCCGACATGACGGTCAGCCAACGCTCCATATCGGGCGATTCTCGGAGGGGAAGCTGAGACCACTCTTTCATGCGAGCTGCCTTGTGCTTGAGCAAAGTATCCGTCTTTGGGGTTTGAATCACTATTGGTTGCCCCATTGAACGCATGGTCATCAAAGCTCCGTAAAGGGCCGACTCGGTCTCTGCCAGCCTCTCTTCCAATTGGTTCAAGTATCCCAATGGTAAGCCCCTGGGCCAATGAGTTAGCTTCCCGGGTACCTGCATACATGTAGGCCGGGTACTTGCCTTTTACCACTCTCAGGGTAGATGCATTTCGATGCATCTCCTGCGCATTGGGAACAGAACGGACTTAACGAGATGCAAATAATTAGAAATGAGACTAGCTAGAGAACTAAACGGTGAGAGCTTTGGTCTTACAGTTTGCGGTCACACTATATGGTCAGCACTTATCTTGCTGTACTTTATGAATAACATACTTTGCATTTGCGCTGTCTGCATAGCTCACAGGAAATCGGATTCAAGTTCTCTTCTGATGAGATCTCGAGTCAGTCGATCTATGCTTCTTATCTGGGGTATTCCGGTCACACCTGGCATAGTGGCACCAGGGGCCTTCCGCTTCGATCGCAATTGCGCCATTTGTTAATCCCGGGATTATACAATGCACATGTAGAACCCCCGAACATACTAATGCAAGATCAGGCTATCAAGTTCGGGTGTACTCCGTATGTGTGTTGCTGTTGGGTGAAAGTCTCGGAGTAAGAAACCTCCGGGTAGAATTAGCAGGCACGTGATGATCACCATATTCATCAGGAAGACAACTAATACAACAGTTGTTAAGGGAGGTGCGGATCATTGATTTTGCTTTTGTTTTGAATGAACGAATTCTATCATCGTGTTGTTCAAAATCCCTGCAAATTGGTCGTCATAACGCATCAGATTGTTGGTCCTATTGATTCGATTATTCCATCCCTTCCTTTTTTATTGCGATTTATTACCAGCCTTCCCTACAGTCCCTTGGCTACCTAAATTATGGCTTGATGTATAATTTTCTTCATACTGTCTCACGGTAAGCTTAGCTTGCTCAAATGCGTACGTAAAGGCGAGAATTCTTCGCCAAACCTGCGTCCAGTAAGGGTAATGCCATATATATTGCCAATATCAGTAAACAGATACTCGGTATGTTGAAGGCAGCTTACAGAATATTTGGAGCTTTCGTGGCCATTCCTTTAGAGTTCCTGACGATTTCACGATCAGCAAAGAACCCAAGTGGTACCTGGATGCCCGGTAGTCTTCCAAGGTCAAGGGGGAGGTCCGTGGAAGACGTTGGGAGGGGAATGTCACAATTATAGTTATCTAAAAGACGCGTGATATCATGGCCTAGTAGCTCCATTCGTGCCTTCAAGGGGAGTAATTCCTCAGATCTAGACATCCCTCGTGCATCACGCGCACAGTGCACTCATAATTGAGAATGTAGCTTTAGATTGTACGACTCGCAGGAGTGAGCTATCACTATCTAGGGTGTATCCTCTATTATCGATGAAGAAGGGGATGCCGATGAAGCGGTTAATACAAAAAATATTGCTCAATCTTCAATTCTTCAATTCTTCAATTTTATAGATCTGGTGCAGCCTGCTGCTGACGTAATAACGAACTGGGTCGCCAGCCCTGGAGACTTCTTCCAAGTAACTTGACTTCAATATCTCATTCGAAAAATGTGATACACAAATTACAGCAATAATGGCTTCGGCTTCACCTGCGAGTATGAGATTCGAGGATAATGAGTCTGAATGGCCATATCTTTCTCGTGCAACTAAGAGACACAAGCGCACCTCAGGCGCTGGTACCTCAGGACCCTCGCCGCGCGAAATTGGATATATGAGAGAATCTCAAAATGACGGATCTGCGACCTTCCTTGGAAGCTCAAGTGGAATTCATTTTATCCGCCATGTCTACAATGCCTTCGCACATCGTTCAGCCGACTTGGACCAAACACGAGCCCGTGACAAAACCTCGGTGCCAGGGGAAGACGACCGGCTACAGCAAAATCCAGGAAGCATTCAAAGCTCAGATGAGCTGTGGGCGATAGAAGAATTAAATTATGTGCCAAATACCTCATTTGCTTTCGACGATCTTGTCATGTGGACACGCAGCTATTTCGAGAATTGGCATCCAATCTTCCCATGCCTCCACGCCCCGACAGTCTTGAAAACAATAGAGACAGTCAGTCAAAAAGGAGCGGAGTCGGTCAACCGACAAGAATTGATGATTCTCCGCTCCATCGTATCCATTTCTCTGGGTGACAATCGACAGAGAACGTCGTCTGGATCGGGGCTTAGTCCTGTTCCTTCGGTCTTGGTCTTCCGATCCATTCAACATGTGATGCAAGATGTACAAAGCCTCCTTGAAGAGCCGACTAGCTTGCCACTGCTACAAGCTGCATTTACCGCTCAACTTGCACTTGCTTCTCTTTTGCGCCTGAATGCCGCCTCGCGGGTGGGGGGTGTCATCACCCGCACTGCATTCCACCTCGGGTTGCATCGTTGCCCAAGACGCTTTTCTTGCTTTACCAGCGAAGAAGCCGATATTCGTTGTCGATTGTTCTGGTCCATCTATTCCCTTGAAAGATATCTTTCTCAGGCCCTTGGCATTCCGCTCTCTATTCGAGATGACGACATCGACGTGTGCTATCCCGATGCCGAAAGACATTCTTCAACAACTGTCAAGCTCCCAGATGACCACAGACTGCGGTTGTTGTGCCATCTTGCGAGATTCGCACGGATTCGAGGTTTGATTGTTGAACTTCGTAATAAATCCATTCTCCATAGTCATGCTAGCCAGGTCGAAGCGGCTCATGTTACTGGAGAGCTAGCACAATGGTGGAATGAAGTTTATGATGATGTCAATCCCATCAATGAGCCCGCAGAATTTGGTCTAGAGCAAGAGCCGATCTTGCAGCCATATCATCGGCTACTCCTGATGATCCTAAGACACGAAGCTATCATTTCGCTGAACCGACCTCTTTTAGCCTCTGGAAAGCCCAGTGCAGATTACAAGAACGCTTTGCAGACTTGCATTGGATCCTCTCGGTCTATACTTGCGGCATTGAGAAAGCACATGTCTTTTGAACCCAAATCTCCGCTCTCGTGGCCATGCTTTACATGGTCGACTTGGATGGCCTGTCTCATTCTGATGTATGCTGCGTGGGAAGAGGAATTATCTACGCCGACTGCTCTCAAATATGCGAGAATGGGGATTGCCATCTTGGAAAACCTATCATTGCGCGGTAGCAGCTGGCCGGAGACCTGCATCGAGGCGATCAAGGGTATGGAATCTGCTTTTGAGACACAAACAAATGGTGGTCAATCCGCCAAGGCTGCTGCCACCTTGAACGGCGCCGAGAGACCAACTCAACCCTGTGCCCAAGCCACGTCATCGATGGATGAACAGATAGCAACGCCGCCGGTTCAGGATGGAAATAATGAGCTTGGCGATACAGATCTCACGCCAGTTCGACCTCAAGCTTTAGCACCGAATGGATACCAAGGCCGTTCAGTCTCTACCGGAATTCATCCGTTTCAACCATCAATTCGCTCACCTGTCCAGAGACTTGACACTGCAGAAAACTACGACTCTACTGTTTTCTCACAGTCTGACAATATCGGTAACCTTGCCGGAGGGTTAGACCCTGCTGAGAACGATTTCAACGGACAATATTCAGCTGGTCTCATTTTCGGCAATATGGCTGACGGAAACCCTGCTTTTAATCCGAGTTTTGCTGGTCAAGACTCTTTGCCATTTTCATCATCTATGCTTATGAACGATTTATGGAGTGTGGCCGATGGCCCATGGATGATTCACAATAACTTTTTGTGATTTCCGATACGTTATAAGCGAGCATATGTGTAGATCTCGTGCTTTTTGGCAATTTCAATTTCAGTTGTGATTTAGATTGAGATTTGTCGCGAGCGTTGAATTTGGATGGAATGCACATTAAGTACACCCCGTTGGAAGGATCTGGAGGTCATTTACAGGCCATCAGATGTCTCGACCGAGTTGTTCGTCACGCGGACTTGTCTTTCTCCGAGTGGGCCCGTATAGCACATCCCGGACATTTGCATCTCCGTCCGCACCCCGCGACAATTATAGTCGAATGAGCTCGCGATGAGGGGTTATGCGATAGGTTTATGGGCAGTGCAAGTGGAGACTGAAACCTGAGAATTTGGAGCCGACTTCCTTTAAAGGCTTCGTCTTCTGCCGTCTATCACCTAAATCACCTCCAACAATAACTTTATCACAACATCATCATGTCTCCATCAGTCGCTAGTCAAAAGACCTACAGCATCGCATCCATCCCAGCCGATGGAATTGGCCCAGAGGTTATCAGTGCTGGTATCACAGCTCTGAATGCCTTGACCGATACTCTCAAGACGTTCAAGTTAGAGTTCAAGAACTATGATTGGAGCTCCGAGACGTACAAGAAGACCGGCAAATACATCCCCGATGGTGGACTCGAGGAGCTCAAGAAGCACGACGCGATTTTCTTCGGCGCCGTCGGCGCTCCTGGTAAGCAGACACAATCAATGCCTTGAAGACATTATACTAAACACCAGAGAAGACGTCCCGGATCATATTTCCTTGTGGGGGCTGAGACTCGCCATCTGCCAGCCGTTCCAGCAGTATGCGAACGTGCGCCCAACACGGGTATTCCGCGGCACCGAGTCCCCGTTGCGCAAGTGCGGACCCAATGACCTTGACTGGGTGATCATCCGTGAGAACAGCGAGGGAGAGTATGCGGGTCAGGGTGGCCGTTCTCACACCGGAAAACCGTGGGAGGTCGCGACTGAAGTTTCTATCTTCTCCCGTCACGGTGTGGAGAGGATTATGCGGTTTGCCTTTGAGACTGCTCAGAAGCGGCCGCGCAAGCTGTTGACGGTGGTCACTAAGAGCAATGCCCAGCGCAACGGTATGGTTCTCTGGGATGAAGTGGCAAAGATTGTTGCGGTTGATTTCCCCGATGTCACTGTGGACAAGATGCTTGTTGATGCTATGACTACTCGCATGGTTCTGAAGCCCGAGAGTCTGGATACCATCGTTGCTACCAATTTGGTGAGTGGCCGATATAGAAATGATGCATAAATAGGTCTGTGGACTGACGATCTACTAGCACGCTGATATCCTCTCTGATCTCGCTGCCTCTCTGGCTGGATCTATTGGTATCGCACCTACCTCTAACCTCGACCCTACACGGGAGTATCCTAGTATGTTCGAGCCCATTCACGGCTCCGCTTTTGATATCACCGGCATGGGTATCTCCAACCCCGTGGCTACATTCTGGACGGCTTCGGAGATGCTTGCTTGGCTCGGCGAGGAGGAGGCTGCTAAGCAGCTGCTGGTCTGTGTCGAGAATGTCTGCGAGCAGGGAGTTCTTACCCGTGACTTGGGTGGTGACGCCACGACGAAGCAGGTCACTGATGCAGTTGTGGCGGAGATTAAGAAGCTTGCGGCTCAATAAGTCGTGTCCAATCAAGGAATTTTGTTTGAGGATGAGCAATGAAATTGTATAGTTGAATAAAATGAGTGGGCAATACATTGAGACCTAGAAGCGGCTACAATGATGAAAATGGAAAATGCAGAATGAGGTGAAAGATTCAATTCCTATAAAATGCCTTTTGTATATATACCCCGTAACATTTAAGAGAATACCTCGCACTTCCGTGTATCCTACAAGGGAAACCTTCAATATATATAATTTGAGTGTTTGTTGTGATCACCGATCTCGACCGCCTTTTAACCACCATCAACTCAACCATCACTCTCATAGAAACATTTGAATGGAGCGCCCGTCCAAAAGAGCCAGGATCTTATCAGATTCCAATGATGGCTCAGCGAGTACACCCCTGACGTCTTTGCAAAGGGCCATTAGCCCACCATTGCCACGAGGTTGCCCCGGACCAACTGATGGTAAATTAACTTCTGGCACTGGAGACACCGGAGGCACTGCTCGCCATCCCCAGTTGATCAATTCGCCAGTACAACTTACCAATATTCGAGATCTACCGGATGGCAACAATGTCGATACCACCCGACTACGTGATATTCTCGGAGATCCCATGATTCGCGAATGCTGGCAGTTCAACTACCTCTTTGATGTGGATTTTCTCATGTCACAGTTCGACGAGGATGTCCGCAGTCTGGTGCAAGTCAAGGTCGTGCATGGATCGTGGCGAAGGGAGGATACGAATCGGATTCGAGTTGAAGTAAGTTTGCACTGACGTGACTCGATCGGGTTAGCTTTATCTTTTTGAATACATCCCATCATTGATCGAGTGTTTGAAGTAACGACTAATCTGCTCCTAGGAGGCCTGTTCGCGATATCCTAATGTCGAGCCTATTGTGGCCTACATGCCGGAGCCTTTCGGGACACATCATTCTAAGATGATGATTCTTCTTCGGCATGATGACCTAGCTCAGTAAGATTCTTGCACACATTATTGATCGCTATAGCCCGATATAGTCTGACTGAATAACCAAACAGAGTTGTTATTCACACGGCAAACATGATCCATATGGATTGGACTAATATGACACAAGCCGCCTGGCGCTCTCCACTGCTTCCCCTGCAGAAGACAAGCTCAGCAGGGTCTCAGACAGACACCAAAATTGGCTCGGGCGCACGGTTCAAAAGGGACCTTCTCGCTTATCTGAAAGCGTACGGACCTAAAAAGACCGGCCCGCTGGTCCAGCAGTTGGATAGTTATGACTTCGGCTCTATCCGCGCTGCCCTCATTGCTAGTGTCCCGTCAAAAAGGCATGTCAGTGACTCCAGCTCAAAAGAGGATACACTATGGGGCTGGCCTGCTCTGAAAGACTTGATGAGCCAAATACCCATCCAGCAGAAAAACACAGGCAAGAAACCACATATAGTAATGCAGGTGCGTATCTCCACACAACCATCATGCTGTAACAAATCTCCAACAAATCCAAGATTTCTTCAGTAGCAACCCTCGGCCAAACAAACAAATGGCTCAAAGATGTCTTCCTCAAAGCCCTCACCCCAACCCAAACCCCAAAACCAACAACCTACTCAATAATCTTCCCAACCCCAGACGAAATCCGCCGCTCCTTAAACGGCTACGACTCCGGCGGCTCAATCCACATGAAAACCCAAAGCGCAACACAACAAAAGCAGCTCCAATACATGCGCCCGCATCTCTGCCAATGGGCAGGTGACACCCTCCCACAAGGCGAATGCATCGATCTATCCGAAGACAATCCCCCAAAGCGCGAAGCAGGCCGCGCCCGCGCAGCCCCGCACATCAAAACTTACATCCGCTTCGGGGACTCGGACATGAAGACCATCGACTGGGCGATGGTGTCATCGGCGAATCTGTCTACGCAGGCGTGGGGCGCGGCGACGAATGCGAGTGGCGAGGTGCGCATTTGTAGCTGGGAGATTGGCGTTGTTGTTTGGCCGGATCTTTTCCAAGATGGGGGTTGTGGTGATACTGATTCTGCATCTGCATCTGAATCCCGAGCGGAAGAGAAATCCCCGATGCCGGATACGCTGATGGTTCCTTGCTTTAAGCGGGACCGTCCTTCTGTGTCTGAGGGGGCTGAGACGGCTTCGGTGGTAGTTGGGTTCCGGATGCCTTATGATCTGCCATTGACGCCGTATGGTGCGGGTGATGACCCGTGGTGCGCGACTGCTTCGCATGCTCTACCGGACTGGCGAGGGGAGAGTTGGATTGCTTGAGTCTGCTGTCTTTGCATTTAGTCTTTTTTAGCTATATCTAGGGTGTTTTCGCCTCAGCAGTTCACGGGCGTGAGTCGCATGGTTGTCGTAGTATACAGTGCGCGGGATTGTGAGGTACTGATACTGAGTCATGGAAAGTAGCATGCATTTGTATTCGTATTCGTCCTGAAAGGTTTGAGACAATACGGTTATCTCTTTTCTTTTAGATAACCGTCTTTCCAAAATTCACTCCACAACATATCTCCTTCGATAGATCGCGAGTCATTGTCCCAGACTAATTCTTCCAATTGTATCATCTATTCGTCGCGGGTGCCGTACTTGGAAATGAGGGTGTTGACGTGGCTGATGTAGAGCTGGTGGGCCTTAGCAGGGCTGTAATCCTTGACCTTCTCCCAAGCACCGTAGAGCTGCTTCTTCTATAAGGTTGCAAGGAGTGAATTGTCAGCTATTGGCCTTCTCCCAAACGTGCTATAGTCCGGGGCTTCCCGAGCTCAATCAAAAGCAGAGCTTAGACGTACCTGGATATCGAACATGCCAGGCTTCTCCATAACGTCACCCTTGCCAACCTTGAAGTAGATGTAGAGGTCCTTCTTCTCCATAAGACCGGGGGAGGTCTTCAGCATCATAACAGCCTTGGCGGCGAACTCGAAGGCCTTGCGGAGGGTCTCGGCCTCGGCGGCATCATCGAGCTTCTCGAACTCGCCCTGCTCGACGACCTTCTCGTAGACTTCCTTCAGGGCTGCGATGTCGATGCCGGCGGCAGCTTCTTGGACCTCGGGGGTGAACTTTTCTTTCTTCTGGGCAGCCTCCAGGGCGGTGATGAAGGGGGTGATGTCGGACATTTTGGATTTGAGGATTGTTTGTTTTTGGGTATAAGGAGGGGTAAGTCAGGAACAGAGGATTTATATGGTTGGGATGTTGGAGATGGTTGAGGGCGGGGTCAACGGCCCTGGAGGTGGGGTGGATGACACACTCGCCAGTTGATTTTGAGGTCATACGATCTCTTGCATACAATGCCTTTACTATTACGTAGGCTATGGAATGAGCAGGATGGCTTTAGAGTAATCCAACTTGTCTTACATATTCAACATTTGATTCAGAAATACCATTATTTACCACGCCGACAGATGCATATCCACAATGCAACCGATGTGGAATCATTCGCTATGCACCAGAAAAAGAAAACAAAAGAGAAATGTCGGGGCAATGTACAAGTTCAAAGATGAAGAGCGATCACCAATCCACCGCCCATCCATTGTGGGTGAGGAATTCCTCACAAACTGCCTTGAGGGCGTAGTTGTTCCGCAGATCATTGACACTGATAGGAGCCCGAGTCAAAGGATCGACGCCCGACTTCTCGACATACTTGGTGATGCCCAAGCGATCGAAACTAACCCCGGATGGTGTAATAACAGGATCATGCATGATCTCAAACGTGATGCCATCAATGAGATAGTCCGGAACAACCTGGAAGCAAACCCAAACGTCAACAACCACCTCATCGAAGAACCAAGTTCAAAACATACCCTTTCCTGAACCTCTCCCTTGGAAGCAACTCGAAATGCCTCCCTCAAGTTCCTAACTTTAGTCTCCGCATCCTCCCGCAGCGCCTTCTGGTCCTCCCCGAACCCAATCTCCCCGATCTCCCCGCGCTCCAAGCGACCCTGCAACTCCGCCAGCGCCCGCGTCACATCGGCCTCAATGAGCGCCTCCATAGAACCCAGTGTCTCATTCAGCTGGCGCACCCGGGAAGTCTCCCGCGCAGCCCAGATCTGCTGCTTCGCGCGCAGGACCGTCTGCGACAGATTCTCTGATTGGGCATTCTTCGCTGCTAGACTCTGTTGGTAAGCTTCGGACGCGACGTCGAGTGCTTCTTGTGGGCGCTGGAGGCCTAGGAGTGCCTGGGCGAGGTAGTAGTGGCTCTTGAGCGCGACGGGGTTCTTTAGACCGTAGATCTCGATTGCGGCTCGCGCGTCATGTTCAGCGTCGGCCCATTTGGCGAGTTTGATTCGTGTTATCGCGCGGTTTGTGAATAAGGTTGGGTCACTGGGGTTCTTTTGGATTCTATGTAATATGGGGATTTTGTTAGTTTGGGGACATTTGAATGATCGTTGGGTTTGCGACTTTGGTTGGGAGTGATGAGGGGAAGTGCTGGAGGGGTTGAATGTGATAGCTTACGCCTGGGAGTACAAGTCTTCGGCACCGCTGTAATCCCCAGATTTGTAGAGCTCATTGCCCTTTGCTTTGAGTTCTTGGGCCATGATCTATGTGTGAGTGAGGCCTTGAGTTTCTCCCCGTGTGATCTGTTCCCCAATGTGGGGCGGCCCACATATAAATTCAAGAGTGATAGGAGTGGATATTGCTGTGATTCATGACAGCTGGGGGGATTTAAAGGGTTTTGATATGCAGTACCTATGTGAGTACCCTTTTTGGATATCTTTGTGAGTTCACCCAAAGCGCATAAAACAACTGTCACTATAGTTCGTTATGGTCTATGGAAAGTCATAGATCCCCGCAGAAGGTCTGAGTCAGCTCAATTGATGCACTGCGCCACATGAGGCAGCTACTCTTCTATACATTAAATTGGGTGAGGTTGACTATACTTATTCATTCACTATATACATATCTCTGTGACGTTCTAATCCGATTTGGAAGCAGAAGTAACATTTGGTTCGTGGTATCATGCGCTGTGAGAACTAAGAAAGACACCACAATCGTGCAGACAAGTCGGTACAACCTGACAAGTCATGCTTTATCAAAGATGGCACAAGATAAGGAGGTTTCTCAGGACATCTGGAGTGTTTCGGGTATCAGGTAAGATAAGATAGACAGCAAAGACGTGTCTAAGCAACAGTGCGGAACTGGATCTCATAGTCCGTGATAGCCTGGACCTTGGCAGCAGAGGCGGACTTAGGATCGAAGCGGTAGTTTAGCCAGTCGGTAGCCAGCTTCTTGGCTAATTCAACACCGATGACACGCTGACCCATGCATAGGACTTGAGCGTCGTTGCTCAGAATAGAGCGCTCAACGGAGAAAGGATCATGGGCAGTCACAGCCCGAATGCCGGGCACCTTGTTCGCAGCGATGGCAACACCCAGACCAGTGCCGCAAATGAAGAGGCCGCGATCAGCCTTGCCATCCATAATGAGCTTGGCACCCTCGACGGCAGGGTGTGGGTAGGCAGTCTTGTCGGAAGATGAGTTGACGCCCACATCAATGATCTCGGCAACGAGGGGGTTCTTCTCGAGAGTGGCCTTGATAGCATCCTTATATGGGACACCGGCCTCGTCGCAGGCCATGACAATGCGGAAAGGAGTAGACATGATGAGGTATGGACGAGTGGACGAGTGGACGAGGATGAGGAATGTACAAACAATACGAGATGTATTAAATCAAATATATGGTATAGATAATATATTGATTTCACACAGAAAAGAAATCCTTGACTTGGGAGTACGCACAGGGGTCTTTATATCTTTTTGCTTAGCTCTCTTCCCCTCTCTCCTTTATAGCCGTACAACCACCGCTCAGGTCCAGCCAATCCTTGCATTTGATAGAATCATCTACAGCCGTTCTCCACCAAGAAAGTCGAATAGTCTGGTTCCGGCCTTGATATTGTTACGCGTATTTCAGCGTCCAGGGTGGCCCGCCCCAGCATCACAGCACCCCACGACGGGCCGTAAGTGGTCGGTGCCAGAAATAGGTTAAACCGAGGTCGGATACTTTAGGATCCTTGTTTTGGTCCGTACATGCGTCTTACCTCGTATTACCGGCATGTTTTATTAGACCTCGCTGGCGCTGGCTTGGAACACACAGGCTTCACATTCTGCCACACACCAAGCCATCGATGTCAGTGGTGAGCGCAACCTACAATACACGACGGACAAGAAGGTTGTGGCTTTCGCACAGGCATGGCGGTCCAACTGGCTTCTTAAATGCTGATGCCTCAAGGCCGAGGGCCGGGACCTTTGGTTTCATCTTTTCCCGAGTCCAGGGTTATTTTGGTGGCTGAGGTCTGGGCACCTCGTATATCGACGAATGTCACCTAGACGGGAAGAGGGGAATATTGAATTGACCTCATACCAGGGAATTAGGTTCAATGCTTTGAAAAACCTGGCTGAGCATGACATTGGAGGGTAATGCGGGATATCGACGAGTGAATTTGCCTCCTGACTTAGTTTTCCAATGGTCGAATGCACAAGTACACAAGTATGGCCTTATTATCCCCAAGACGCTAAACCCCATAGTTAATTGATGTGCATTGCCTCATAGCAAAGGTGTTTTACTCCACTTTTCCACTCCACTGTAATGTTGTTGGGCGTTAGCCCACTGGTTCTCCGGCTTGTACTATTGCACAATGTATGTACTCCGGATTTTCGTTTAGATCTGCACTGTATGATCCTAGAAATTGCATATCATGCTCTAATTATACTATAGTAGGCAGATGGGATAAGAGTCTTGGAATGTATACCTAAAGTGTACATAAAGTACAAAGCGCAATACCATCTGGGAATAGTTCGATTCTCCTATGTCCGGGGTACGGGGTACTAGATATTACGTTGGCTTCGCTTGGATTATCACAGTCTAGCCAACATTTATTGGACTCGGTATTGAGTACTCTATTGAGTACTCTGAATGGCTATACCCTCATACAACATGTATGGACAATCGGAACGTCTAGCGCACAAATGCCACTAATGCGCATTGACACACTGGAAATTACCTTTGATCAAAAAAATACTTGGAATTACTTGGAATTACAATTCGAATCCTGGCTTTGACTTTCCAACTTTCCGAGAATCAAGAATCCCTAGCTTCAGACGGGAACGACCCAAACACACAACTTTCGCAACACCAATCACCATGGCGTCCACTTACCCAGTTCTCCCGGAGAAGCTCCTCCTCATCTCTCTAAAGATGTACTTCACCCCAGACCGCACACTCACCTACCTTCGCGAACTCCTCAACCCAACCAACGAGATCGTCCACCCCGCAAACCGAGACAAACTCCTCCTAGCTCTAATCCCAGACTTCCTAACCATCTGGCCCTGCGCGCAAATCCTCAAAGAGTACGAAGCCAACCTCACCAGCGCCGGAACCGGAACCTCCCCATCCCCACCCCCTTTCCTCCTCGGCGCGCAAGACTGCTTCTGGGAATCGCAAGGCGCATACACAGGCGAAGTCTCCCCGGCCTCAATCCGCGCGCTAGGCTGCTCAATCGTCGAACTAGGCCACGCCGAGCGCCGCGCCATCTTCAACGAAACAGAAGACCAAACCGCCCGCAAAGCAGCCGCAACCTGCGCCCAGCACATGGTCCCGCTCGTCTGCATCGGCGAAGTGACAGCTCCCGGCCCCGTCGCCTCCCAGGCTGTCGGCCAGGCTGTGGCCGAGTGTGCGGTGCTGGTGCGCGCTGTGCTGGCGGCTATCCCGGACGACGCGCCCGTTATATTTGCCTACGAGCCTGTTTGGGCTATTGGCCAGCCGAAGCCGGCTGGTGTTGATCACGTTGCTGCTGTTGTGCAGGGCATCCGGGCGGTTATTAGTGCCCGGCCTGGTACAGTGCGTGTTTTGTATGGCGGTAGTGCCGGGCCTGGTCTTTGGGGGGCTGGTGGGCTTGGTCGCGCGGTTGATGGGATGTTTTTGGGCAGGTTCGCACATCAAATTGATGGCGTGCGGGAGGTTGTCCGTGAGGTAGAGGAGACGCTGGCTATAGCGTGATGATGCCCCAGGTACTCATCCTCGACACGACGCCTTGACATTTCATGTCTACAATTATACAGGTATACGGTATTGTGTTTCGCACTATACGGTTCCTTGTCATTGTTATACGGAATAATAAATA